ACTTTGATGTTGTTTGATCTAGAAGCTAGCATGGTTTGACAAAAAAATTTGGGCAAAGGAAATATTTCTCTTTAAATCCAAAACTACACGAATATAAGGATATATGCACGTACAACTCAAGTGGTAGGCGGTTTCTCTCAATTCCTACAATTTGAGAGGTAGAAAGTTTATTCCAAACCCTAAACCTAAGGCTCATAACAAACAATCTCATGCATACCCTAATCCTAAACATAAGAGCCCTATTTATTCTAATAATAATAATAATAATAATATTAATAATGAAGACTAAATTGTCCTTCAGCTAATAAAAGTCAAAAACTGCTCTTAGGCAGCACCATAACATACTAATATGTGTTCATGCATTTTCTACACCATTTTGTTGTTGTTTTCGTCTCATTTATATTTTTATTTGGGAGATTAAAATATGAAAGAATCTTATATTAAATAGTTTTGTGAGAAAATAGGGAGAGTTGTTAAAATTTAAAGTTCTCATCTACCAATTAAAGCTCATGAAACATCTCATGAGAAATCTTATATTTTAACGAAGGAAGCTGTTTTATATTTATATTTTTATTTTTAGGCTCTGAATATTAATGGAACTTTTGTTGAGTTTAATTACATCTTGGGTGATACATAAATATTCTTTCAATAAGAAGAATTAATTTTGTATTCTCATTTTTTTCAGCTTAGTTCCTCAAAGGACTTTTGTTAAAAAATGACCATTTTAATGTGATAACCCCCCATGCTTATAGGAAGAGTTAGATCACAAGTTAATGAGCGAATCTTTGTATTGAAGTGGAAGACAACCTCTCTGTAGAAGAAATCCTGCCAAAATGAAGAGCAAATATATCACAAGGGATTGAAAGGGCTCAAAGGAGATGGAAAGCGTGTAGGAGGAATCGAAATATGAGTGGACATAACTTGATAATCAATTTATTAATCTCTCATCTCAGATTATTAAGTTTTTTATTCACTTTGCTATGAGAATAGCCCAGTTAGCCAGCCCTTAAGGCACTGTATTAGCAATCATGAATTGCATCATCTAGAGGAGTTTCATGATCTCAAAGCGTGAAACACAAATTCTTAGACAAATATCTCTTCTTGTTAGATTTGGAAGAATGCTAAAATTTTTTCTCTCTTAAACTATGAGAGGATGCTTTTAGAGAGGGACAATTTTATCGCAAGAGTCAAACTACCAAGACCTTTCTTACCAACTGTTCTGGATTATGAAATCCAATAATATAACTCATTGTTTGAAATTGTGCAATTGGATTTTAAGGTATTTTCTATTTATGAGGAGAGGTGTAAATGTTGAGGTGTTTCGAGACATAAGCCCAATAAGTAGAATATTAAATTAATAAGAAAATTGAATGTCATGAGTACCATACTGACATTGAAGCAAGATATCAAAGTGAGAGCATGACAAGTCAAAGTAAGTTCATCACAATAAGCCTCTTCTTCTCTCAAATTAATCTTAAAAAGTAGTCATAATAAGCCATTTAAAACTCTCCATCCCTAATATCACTCAATGTACTCTCATTAGAATTAATATTCTTATTAATTGTTTTTTATTCTCTTATTTTCAGTTGTGTTGACTTTCTGTTATTTTTTTGTCATTCATCTTTCTTTTTACTGATCAATAAAAACTGTTAAGAATATTAATTAAAATAAAAAAATGACCGTTATTTGTTCCTTTTTCACTTACATAAAATTAAAAAAAAAATGGCTTTTTTGTTATAAAAATGATATAAAAGGCACAACATACAAGTCTATGTATCGACATAAACACAAGGGGATCATTTTTCATGTTATTCTAGAAGATGGCCCAAGGATCCTTTAGTAATGAAATCCTCTATTATGAAGATTGATTTTGCCTATGGATTTTTTTGGGGTTGCTAATCATTTTAATTAATTTTATAGAAATAATGGATTTTAGACAAATAGCACATTATTAAGGAAGTCTTAAAATTACCCAGGTGCAGTAAACAATCATAAATTAATAATAGAGAAAGATCAGTTGTGGCTAGGTTCTGTGAAACATTCCAATAGAAGAAAAAGTAAAGCAATTGAGCTCTTTATAAATATAACTCTTTCCTGAGTGTATATACACATTTCAAAATATGTCCTGTTCTCCTGGCCATTGTTTTTTTTTTCTATTATGAAAAAAATATTTAGGCCCTCATGCTTTTACCTTTATTTTATGATCACGGTTTTCTTAATGAAAAGTACATGAAAAAAAAAGCAAACCGTATAAGGCTACCACTACATAATAAATGGTTTGTGTATGTTCAGGTGTGCACATGTATATAGAAACCTTTATCTTCTTCAATGACAAGATTCTCTCTTCTGTAGAAATCATTTGTAGAAAAATATGATTCTATTTCGTGAAAAGTGACATCTATTTGAGGTAAAAAATCACTTAGGTGGATGGTAGCTCTTATTTCCTTTTTGTTGGGGACTATCCTAAACAATACTTCTTATAGCCTTTGGTTCAAGTTTTTCCTTGTATGAACTAAAGAAAAGAACAATAATTATACACTCAAAAAATTTAAGAATCTTATGATTTAAAGTTAGTTGGTTAGAATATAATTTGGACTTTTTTTTTATAGGACTCTTGTAGGTCAAGACTTTAGAAGATAACCTATTCATAAGGTGTGTTACTATCAGAATTGCTTCCGTCTAGTAACTTTTAGGTGCGTTACTATTAAATTAAAAAAAACTTGGGTTATATCAAAGAGATGAGCTTTTATGCTTTTAGCAACTCCATTTTCTTGTCTAGTATTTACATATAACGGCCCATGAATAATGCATCCCAAAATTTTAAACATTGTTCATTTGTTGATAAGTGAACTTTTTTTAATTTAAAATTTATCATTAAAAGAAGTCAAATCGTATCTATGAAAGCTTTCTAATAGCTAATATAACTGATATATTATGCACTTTTAATTATTAGTATTGCTCATCTATCTAAATATTCTATTAAATTGTTTCTTTTAAAAGTTCAATTAAAATATTATTGAATTTATCTTCATTTATTTTGACGCTACCGTGCATGTTTTATTGGCATCAGAAATTTGAGACCCTAAGATATCCTACATTAATATTTATCATACTATGTTTTCTGCAAGACAAAATCCTCAATTAACCATTAAAAATGTTTAAAAATTATATTGCTAAAGAAAATGCATTATTTTGAACTTGTAAATTCCTAATGAATATTTTTTGGAGGGTTGCCTTTACTTTATAGAATCATTTTGTGGCAAGAAGAGTTTGCTATAATTCATTGGGCAGGGTGCTTTGCTCGCAACAATGAATTTGATCTGTTAAACCTAAGCACGAAATTATATAAAGTAAAGGGAAATAGAATAAAGACAATCCATAAAATGGTTTGACCGAAAATAGAAATCAACTACGCATCAATTTACTTGGAAGTTTGCCAGATTTATATCCATGATGAAGAGACGAAAAGAAAGGTTTAGCTTTTCTAGTAAAAAGATAATTATGTCTTGTTGAAGAAGAGAGTATTTGACCAATGTCTTCAATTACCACTTTTAGAGTCTTCTTATGGTACATTTCTTATTTTTCAATTATTTAAATAAAATTTAACCTTACATGTTCATGATGTGCTCTCAAAACAAAATCATTTGAGCATCAAACTGTTTTCCTTCGCATGTAGACCGTTTTACTTATAACCTAATCTATCATGTGTTGACAATGCTGTTACTTTTACTTATAAGGTTGTTTTATTTGTATCTGAGAAGTCAATATTCCTTCTAGCGAATTTGATGAAAAGATTTTTGTTTCTCCCGCTTGTACTTGTGTTGGACTTTGTAAAAAGTTGGGGTGAGTGTTCTAGTCTAACCGCACATACATCTTATGGTGAGGTATATCTTAAGGCACACACATGAAAACATTTGGGGTATTTGTTTTGGTGTACCACGGGTGTATTGTAAAATAAAATATACAGGTTCTGACTTTGTAGGTTTTTGGTACCAAGTAAAACAATTATAATATATTTTGGTAAATAATTTAAAATACCCAATGGTCTCATATTTTATGAATTCAAAATTCGCCTATATTGGACAAATTCTGACTGCATTGCTCTTTAGAGTCTATACCAATATAGTTTGCAACCCCAATCCAACGAGATATTGTCTCGACCACTATCACCGTCCCCAATTGTTCTCATGTCCACCATTGATGTAAAGTTGAGAGCTGGACAAGCGAGACATTGAGGTGTCTCGTCTCCCTTTTATCGGCTCGGTGGATGTTGGCCACCATTGTTTTCAACTCTCCCAACTTATTCCTCAACTGGACCTGTTACAGTTAATTGACAAGTTGGCTGGACGTGTTACAGTTAATTGACAAGTTGGGCTTGGGCTGTGTCCATCAAAATCCAGTAATTTTTGTGTCAAACCTGATTAGAACCTATCAACATGAGTTGCCACTCCAAAACATGCTAGCGCTTTCAGCTTTATTGTGTCTAGATGTTTATTTGTGCAGATCTGTGGTAGCAGTTCTCTAAAAATATCACTTTATGAACTTATACTGATTTTTTTTTCTTGTTAAGTATTGCCTATATAAGAATTTTCTTTTAAATCTTCGCTTGTGGTTTTACTGCTTGGCCTTCTAGTCGGGACAGTTCAACAGCTTTTTATATGTAATTCATGACTATATTACCCTATTTAATGATATTTCAATGGCTCTCACTTTGAGCCAGGTTTTCATGTAGGACTTATTTGGGATCACTTTTGTTTTTTATTATTTGTTTTTATTTTAAACATAGATTTGCTTAGTATATTTTTTTGCATGTTTTTATTTTTTGTTTTGAAAAAAATCTGTATTTAAATTTCAAATAAAAAACATAAAAAAATAAAAAAAATAAAAATAAAAATAAAAAAGCAAAAACTACAAGTGATCTGATATGCCCCCCGTGTATTTGTACATTTTAGTAATTTCTGATCTGACATTGGCTTCATCTTGTTTAATGCTCAATACAGATATATTGCTCTCGAGGACTATGATAACGGGATAAAGTGCTTTCACAGCGCTCTCCAAGTAAATGAACGACATTATAACTCTTGGTATGGCCTAGGAATTGTATTCCTTCGCCAAGAAAAATTCGAGTTTGCAACACATAATTTTCATAGAGCTTATCACATAAACCCACGTTCTTCCATCATCATGTCCTATTTGGGAATGGCTTTGCATTCTTTGAAGGTTGATATTCTTTTCCTCTCTTGTTTACTTATAAAATGAGTAAAGTGTCAAAATACTCTCGACTATTTACATGGGACTATTTTAGTCCCATAATCTATAAAAATGCCGAATTCGTCCTAGACTCTTTTAGTATTTTCTACGTGTGTGTGTAGGGCGGTTTAGCTCTCATTAAAAGAGTACGGGGATTAAATTGACACTTTTATAGATTTCAGGACTAAATAACCTTCGGCAGAGAGTTGGGGGAACCCTTTTGGCACTTTTCTCTTTACAAAACATTTGTGAGGGCCTCTTTTCCTTTTAAAATTCTTTTTTTTTCTATAAATCATTTGGCTTGTAAATTCTCTTGGGTGATACTCAGAGAAATGACGAGGCGTTGGTGCTGATTGACAAGGCCATTATAGCGGATAAGAAGAACCCACTTCCAATGTATGAGAAGGCTAACATTCTCGTAAGCTTAGAGAGATATGATGAGGCTCTGAATGTTTTGAAGCAGCTAATAGAGTTTTCTCCGCGGGAGAGCAGCGTGTACGCATTGATGGGAAAGATTTACAAGATCCTTAACATGCATGACAAGGCAATGTTTTATTTTGGAACTGCCCTGGATTTAAGGCCTCCAGCAGCTGATGTCGCAGTCATAAAGGTGTGCCTGCTTCAATTTTTTTTTTTTTCCGTGGAATTTACATACATATTTCCAATTCTTATGTACTTACATATCTAACACACATATCTAACACCTAAATTTTACTTTTTTACATTCATACTACCCAAATCTTTCATATCACATAAAAAAATACCACCATTTTAACATTTAAAAGTGAAATTTACATTTTCATTCATATGTAAGGTACCATGTATGTAAAAATTGAAGTTTAGGTGTTTGATAGGAATTGTGTGGGATGTGTGTAATCTTCCTTTTTTTTGCTTTTGCTCCTTGCTGAAATTAGGATGCACGATCATTTAAACCTTCTGACCTTGCTTCTGAAATGTTATGTTTTGGAGCATTTACATACATACCACCCAGTTCCAATTTATTTACATATCCCACACTTAAATTTTAGTTTTTTTACATTTATCCTACCCAAATCATTGATATCATATAAAAAATACCACTATTTTAACTTGAAAAAAAATTGAAATACACCTATTCATGCATAGGTACTTGTGGCATTTATGTAATTGAACTTTAGGTGTTAGTTATGTAAATACATAGACATAGGAATTGAGTGGTATATTGAGTGGTATGCATGTAAATCTTCTTTTTTCTTTTTTTTTTTTTTTGCTTTTGTTCCTTGCTGAAATTAGGATGACATGATCATTTAAACCTACCTACCACTCAATTCCTATTTATTTAAATTTGGAACACTTAAAATTTACTTTTTATATCAAAAAATACACGACAACAAAAATAAGCCTTTATCCCACTAAGTGGGATCGGCTACATGAATCATTTTTTTCCATTGTGTCGTATTGAGTGTCATATTTTTATTTAATTCAAATAAATTAATATCATCTTTTATACAATATGCCCAAGTCTTTTTAGGTCCACCTCTTTCTTTTTTAACATAAGTCAAATCTAAAACATTTATTCTCCTAACAGGATTCATCAGATGGTAGACATTTAATGTGATCAAATCATCTAAGCCGACTCTCTCTAATCTTGTCTACTACTAGAGCTATACACCAATGCTTTCACAGATTCATTTTACATTTTGTCTCTAAGTGTCAAGTCATAAATCTACCTAAGCATTCTCATCTCAATAACACTCGACTTAGTTTTATGCTTCACTTTTAAAGGCCAACATTCCGCTCCATAAAGTATTGCAGGCCTCACCACCATTATATACAATTTTCCTTTTCGTCTAAGCAGTACTTTTCTATAACACAATTGGCCCGATGCATTCCTCCATTTCATCCAACCAACTTGAATTCTATTAATAACATCCTCATCTAGCATACATATCTTTAATGACTCGACTATAAGTCATATGAATAACTTTCTTTTCTAGAACTCTCCAAAGAACTTTTCTTGGAACCTAAATTTTTTTTTTTTTAATTTATAAAAAGTGAAATGCCTTTTCATACATAGGTAAGGTAAGGTGGCATGTATGTAAAAAAATTAGTTTAGATGTTAGATATGTAAGTACATTAGAATCGAGTGGCATATATATATATGTAAATCATCCTATGTTATTCTACAGGGACATTTACATACATGCCCCCCAATATTTTTTTTTACTTACATATATCTAACATCTAAACTTTATTTTTTACATTTATACTACAAAAATCATACATATCACTATTTTAACTTTTAAATAACGGTATACAACTTCTCATGCATGGTAAGGTGGTATATATGTAAGAATTGAAGTTTTGGTGTTAGATATATGTAAATACTGGGGAATTGAGTGGCATGTATGTAAATCTTCATATGTTTTTTATATATATACATTCATTGCAGATTTGCAGATTGGATATGTTAGATAACAATCTGTCAATTTTATTAGTCCAAATAATATCCTCATTAGTAGTGTAATCATTTAGGCTCAGTTATTTTCTCCATTGTAAGATTTAGGGTCTCTGTTTATGATTTCAAGTTTCTTTAGCTGCCTAAACTATCACAATTGCAATTTGAAGGTTAACTATTCTTGTACGTCCTCTTAAATTGTCAATTTATAATTCTCTTTGCAGTCTGCGATGGAGAAACTGAACTTGCCTGATGAATTGGAGGATTCATTGTAAACCAAGTGTTTGAAGGAAGGTCCGACGGCGAACGTCTGAAGCCGGCCTGCCTGGGCTTTCGGGCAATCCGTTCTTTAGAACCCCGACGGAGAAGAAGTTTCCGGAAGCTGGTGCGGGTTCTAGAGTGTAAGATAAACCATTTCTCATTTTTGTAGCATTAGGATGTAATTAGGAGATTCAATTTAATACCTTTTTTTAAGTGTGTAATGATAAATTCTTACTTGTAAGTGCAAGAACATGAGCCATAGGAAAATGTAGTTCAATTCCTATTATTATTATTATTTTAATATTTGTAGCATTTCATTTGAATCTAAAAATAACCAACATTTTAACCTTTATGGGTACTCTCATGCTAACATTTTGTAGATTGAGTTGATTTTTGAATCTTTTCTTTGGCATGAAGCAGTGTCTTATGTGATTTAGTCTCATTTCTACATTTTTTTTTTTTTGAAGATTTACATACAAACCACTTAATTCCCATGTATTTTCATTTATAGCACATTAATTTTTACATGACATCTTACGTATGAACTGATGTATTTCATTTTTTTAAGGTCAAAATAGTGAAATTGTTGATGTGACCATAAAGATTTTGATTTTTGATCGTATACGGTGTAAAAAATAATGTTTAGGTGATTGATGTGTTAATATATAGAATTTGTGTGGTATGTTTGAGAAGGAAAAAAATTGCGTACATAAGACGTATGTAAAGTTGCGTACGTACATGGAGGATTTTGGGATGTTATAATCGCGTTTATACTCCTTATAACCTCTCTGTAACTTACCTGTATATGAAATAAAAGCGCAAAACTTACTATAAGGTACAAATAGTTTACAGGGAGGTTACAGATGGTATAACGGGGTTATAACTTCCTAAAACCCTCCATGTAACTTATTTGTACGTACGCAGCTCTGCGTACGTCTTATGTACACAAATTTTTCCCCGTTTGAGATTAGCCCTTTAGTTTGTGGGAAATTTATCTATATACCACAATCTTTTATATATTTACATATTTAACACATTGGTGTCAAACTCGTGCTTGAAAATCGATGTGTGAACAACGGCGTGGATCATATCACGTTGTTGAACATATTGTGCAGTGCAATCAAAGTTCTCGTCAGCACATCCGGAAGACATGTAATATTTTCTCCGATAAATAATAGATAGAAGGGGTTTAAATAAAAAAAAAAATGTCAAAATAGTTTTCGACTGATTATATGTGGCCGTTTTAAAATATTCCTAAAAGTAATTATCATAATTTAAAAATAAATGTCTCATAATATTACATTATGAAAACTGTAAATAGTAAATAAATACTTGATTTTTAAACTATTTACGTAATTCACACATGAAGTTTAAGAGATTCTCATAACCACTTATCAATACTTATTTATTTCTCAAATGTATGCATAGAATATGCACAATATCATGTTGTAAGAATATGAGGTTTCTATGTTTATTTACATGCATACCATCCAATTCTTATGTATTTACATACATAACACTTCAAATTTTCTTGTTTACATTTATAATACTCAATGTTTCCTATCACAAAAGAAAATCAATATTTTAATTTTAGAAAAACTAAATACTCCTTTTCATGTGAAGGCTTGGTGACATTTTTGTAAAAATTAAAGTTTATGGGTTAGATATTTAATCACATAAGAAAATTTGGTTTCTTAAAAATTGACCAATCTCAGTGATTTTTTTAACTATCGATGTATTCCAATCTCAGTGATTTTTTTAACTATGTATCAATAAAATTATTGAGAATTTGATAAAACAAATGAAAAATATGGGGTGGCATTTTGCCATGAATGTTGATATTTGAGTGAGATTTTGCAAAATCGGTGAAAAAGGGAAAAAATTGCGTACCTAAGACATACGTAACGCTGCGTACATAATGAATGTTACATAGGGTTATATCGGCATTATATTCGCGTTATATCTCTTATAGCCTCCATATAACGTTCTTGTAAGTTACATGTGACCTACAGATATGTGAAAACGGAAGCGGTGCAAATTCAAGTAGATTAGAGTTACAGATATGTGAAAACGGAAGCGGTGCAAATTCAAATAGATTAGAGTTGGCTCGCAAATTCAAGTAGATTAGAGTTAGGCTAAGTAGAGGTTAGTTCGAAGGGATATAACGTGATATAACCCCTGTATAACCTCTAAGCAGAGCTGCGTCCGTGTGTAAATAATAAGTTTCGCCGGCGCAAGATCCAGCGGGAAGCGGTGTTTGGCGACCGCTGCCCTCTGCCAGGCTCTGTCTCCCGTAGAGGAAAATGAAAAAGCCTCCATTTTTAACCATTTCTAGGGTTTTCTTTCTTCCCTCCATTCATAGAAATTTATCTACCGAACAAAAGTTACCTTTTTATAATCCTCCTCCTTGAATTTCACGTCAAAAGACATGGATTTTCATTGCATCGCAGCTCTGCTGACAGCTTCCACCCATTCATAGAAATTTATCTACCGAACAAAAGTTACCCTTTTATAATCCTCCTCCTTGAATTTCACATCAAAAGACATGGATTTTCACAGCATCGCAGCTCTGCTGACAGCTTCCACCGTTCCCAACTCTTTGGCAAAGGGAAAGCTCCTTCACGCCAAATCAATCTCCATCGGACTGCAGCAAAGTTTCCAGCTTTGTAAAACTCTCATCAATTTCTACGTCTTCTTCCGCCTTTTTGATTCTGCTCGACTGGTTCTCGAAACTATCAACAACCCCCTGGACATTTTCCTGTGGAATTCCCTCATTGCGGTGTGTTCCAAAAATCAGATGCACAGAGAAGCCATTGGGATTTACGATAAGTGTTTTCTATTTGCTTATGTTAAGCCTGATTGTTACACTTTTCCGAGTGTTCTTAAGGCTTGTGGTGGACTGGGTGATGGGAGGAAGGGGAGGATGATTCACACCCATTTGTTGAAATTAGGGTTTGGTTATGATGTAGTGGTTTCGAGCTCTCTTGTTGGGATGTATGCGAAATGCGGGTCTTTACGTTCTGCAGTTAAGTTGTTTGAGGAAATGCCTGAGAGAGATGTTGCTTGTTGGAACAATGTTATATCCTGCTACTATCAAGATGGCCAAGCTTTGAAAGCTCTTGAGATGTTTGATAAAATGTTGAGTTTTGGCTATAAGCCAGATTCTGTGACCTTCTCCATGGTTTTCTCGGCCTGCGCGAGGCTTCTGGATTTGGAGATGGGGAAGAGGATGCATGAAGAGTTGGTGAAGAGTGATTATGAGATGGATGGATTTGTCAGGGCTGCTATTGTTGACATGTATGGAAAATGTGGGTGTTTGGAGAGTGCAAGAGAAGCATTCGATCAAATGCCTGTTAAGAGTGTTGTCGCCTTTAACTCAATGATAAATGGGTATGGTCTGCAAGGTGATTGGAATTCATGCTTTGAGCTTTTTCTTAGGATGAAAAGCGAAGGAATTAGGCCTACTTCGAGCACTATAAGCAGCTTGTTAATGGCATGCTCGAGAACTTCAGCTATATGGCAGGGAAAATACGTGCATGGATATGTGCTGCGAAACCAAATTGAGCTAGATATTTTTGTTGCCACATCGCTCGTCGATTTTTACTTTAAATGTGGAGAGTTTAGGTACTCTGAGTTTATCTTCCAAAAAACTCAAAAAAATAATGTAGTTTTGTGGAATGTTATGATTTCAGGTTATGTAACATTGGGCTATTTTTTTGAAGCTCTTGATGTTTTTCATGATATGAAGCTCTATGATGTGAAGCCAGACGCCATTACTTTTACTAGCTGTTTATCTGCGTGTGCTCAATTAACCGCCCTGCAGAAAGGGAGAGAGATCCACGAACAAATTCGTAGTAGTAATTTTGAATCTAACGAAATTGTTATGTGCGTGCTTGTTGAATTATATGCCAAATGTGGTGTGGTCAGAGAAGCACGGGCCGTTTTCGACAAGTTATCAATCAAAGACACCGTGTCGTGGACATCGATGATTATGGCTTATGGCTCCAATGGCCGGACAATCGAAGCTTTGGAGCTTTATGAAGAAATGCAGAAGAGGAAGGTGAGACCTGACAGAGTTACATTTTTGGCTCTAATGTCCGCCTGTAGTCATGGAGGAATGGTTGATGAGGGTATCTATTATTTCTATCACATGAAATCTAAATATGGAATTGAACCGGGTTCGGAACATTATTCGTGCCTCATAGATCTTCTTGGACGCTTGGGGAAGTTGGAAGAAGCTTACGAGATACTTCGGAGCGTGCCCGTTTTAAAATTAGATGCGGGTTTGTTAGGCTCATTTTTCTCTGCTTGTATTTTACATGGGAACTTGGATTTAGGAGAGGAAGCTGCCAGGCTTCTTTTAGGTATCGAGCCGAATGATCATTCTACATATGTAGCTCTATCAAATATGTATGCTTCCGCTGGAAGATGGGACGAGGTGCGCAAAGTGAGAGCCAGAATAAAGGAGAAAGGATTAAGGAAGAATCCTGGATGTAGCTGGATTGAAATAAACAAGAAGATTTACCAGTTCTTTGTGGAAGATTACTCTCATCAACAAATGGAGTTGATATGTGAATGTTTAGAGAATCTTTCAATTCACATGGAGGATAAGTTTGATCCACAAGAGTAGAAGGCTCGATGGTTGAAGCATTAAAGGATGTGTAGGAAATTAACATCAGTAAGTGAAGACTGAATTTTTCTATTGGGGCATTTACGTACATACCACCCATTTCCTATGTATTTGCGTATCTAACAACTAAACTTCTACTTTATACAGTTATAGTTTTATACCACCCAAATCTTTCATATCACATCAAAAGTACCACCATTTTAATTTTAAAGAAGTTAAATCTACCTTTTCCATACATAGGTAAGGTGACATGTAAAAATTGATGTTTAAATGTTAGGTATGTAAATACATAGGGATTGAGTGGCATATATGCATATCTTCTTTTTCTATTTACTATTGTTAATTGTTTTTCGAAGCCTATTTGATTGATGGTGGTTGTGATGACATCAAATGGAAGATCGGTTCAATTTTTTTATTGAAGGATAATTTTTCTGATACACAAAACAAGCAAGTTATTGCACGAAGCTAGGTGAGGTTTATTTTTGTTATATTATTAAGTTTCTTTCTCTCCTCTTGAGAAAATTCATAAACTGAGGCAGTTAACAGAATTGTTCCTTTTTGTACAGAAACTGCTTCATCGCGCCATGTTTGTGAAGAAGAAATGAGCAGAATCTCAGTTCTCAAGTCTCTCAAATGGTAAATTATGTTTTTTTTTTTTTGTTTGGGGCATTTACATAAATACCTTTCTGTTATGATATG